CCCCTCTGCCCCCTGTCTGTCCATATATATACCTGACCCTCTGTCCCCTGTCTGTCCATATATATACCTGCCCCTCTGCCCCTTGTCTGTCGATATATACCTGCCCTCTGCCCCCTGTCTGTCCACATATACCTACCCCTCTGCCCCCTGTCTGTCCATATATATACCTGCCCCTCTGTCCCCTGTCTGTCCATATATACCTGCCCTCTGCCCCCTGTCTGTCCACATATACCTACCCCTCTGCCTGTCCCCTGTCTGTCCACATATACCTGCCCCTCTGTCCCCTGTCTGTCCACATATACCTGCCCCTCTGTCCCATCTGTCCATGTATACCTGCCTCTCTGCCCCCTGTCTGTCCATATATATACCTGCCCCTCTGCCCCCTGTCTGTCCATATATATTCACACACACAGTGCTGACTCACCGTGAGGGTCCGGTCTGTGGGCGCTCCGAGGCGCGGGGGGCTCCTCTGGAAGGCCAGCTTCAGGGCCTGCCTGTGGAGGTGAGCCGCGACCCTGCGCTCCACCAGCTGCACGAGGCCCCTGGCCATTCGGATGCCCTGCTGGAGCAGCATGGCTCTCCACCAGCAGGGGGCGCGGGTGAGGGCTCGGGGAGCTAAAGAGCCAGGAGTCTTTCCCAGCACAATGTACCTGTGTGGAGAACTTACACTGCCAGCACAAAAAACGTGTACTGCAGAGTACTAAACTAAATATTAGGTAATAAAATATATTTAGCTGGAGTGAAAACTACGTGGAAGTGCACTGAAAACCGAGAGCAGGAGGCCCGTCTTTACACAACAGGTGGTGGGAGAGTGGAACAAGCTGCCCAGCCATGTGCCCGTAGTTATAGACGAACTACTATGACGACTAACGGCCTGGCCGGGCTGAAACTCGTTTGTAAGCTGTCCTCTGTTTCTAACTTGATACTTTTTTTCAGTATAATGTTTAAAACCTACCACTGGGAGGCTAAGCAAACTAACTCTCGTATCACTTTTATTTCCACAACTTCAAACACAGTGTGAATAAACCACTGCAACGAAAAAAAAGTATAAAATATTTTCCGATAGAGCGCAGGCGGCATAAACTAGCGTTGTCATGCAGCGATTTGTAACCGGAACGGTACTGTTTAAATGTTAAAGTGAAATAATACTGGATAGACCGAATACATGAATGATGTCACAACAAATGCCAATGAACGCTTGTCAGAGAGGCTTTTAAGCGATACTCGGTAGAATAATACGTTTTATTTATACTTAGCGAACGAAAGATCCTTTAATTTATGGACATATATCACCCATCAGTTTCGGCTCCCGTAACGCTGATGTGCCGGCCGCACAGATGACATTGAGCACACCGGTAGTTTCACAACTCGCCTCCGGCTAACTCACTCAACAACTCCCGGGAAAAAAACAAGGGGGATCACCTGATCACAACCAGCGCGTATGATTGGCTCGACTTTCCCGTCACTCAAAAATTCAACCTACACGTGACCTTCAGCGCACAGCTCGCTTTG